GCTGCCACAGTGGGGTGAGGAGAGAAGGGCGATTTAATCTGCTATCTTGTTACCTCCTCACTCGGCTGGCCACGGCACAATCAGTCCTTCTGCTCGGAGCGTGAATGGCAGCTTACATGTCAAGCTGTAGATCTGACAGCTGTCACCTGCTAAGCCTGAGATTTTCACTCACGAAGGAAAGGTGAGGGGCAACATTTTGCTCCTGAAATTCCAGTCTTCCACTTTAAGCCAATACCATAGCAGACGTTCTTTAACAGCACGCATCCGGTTTAATATTTGGGATTTGAACCCCTTCTTTTATTCTTTCTCCAGCACTTCACTAATATTTCGACATGCCACTGTTTCTTGTCTGTTATGCTTCACTGTCTATGATGTTCATTAGTCTTTGTTGGTGTAGTCGGCTGCACACCTACTGGATTGATTACATCTCTGACATGCCTGGCTGTTGCTTTACGCAGCATGCGCCGATACCCACAGCATCCATCATGCCAATGATTCATGCTGCTTTATTTGTTGTGTGTACAAGGTAGCGAGGCTGATTCAAATATGCATCGCCTCACTCGTATAACTACCCAGGTGTTAGTTATGCAGGTAAAAAGAAGAAGCCATCTTCTGAAAATCCCACAGTTTATTAGGTTGTCTAGCTCAGAAAAGGATAAAGTCATATTACTGCGCATGTACAGAAGAGTCCTTGAGAATGACCATTGGTTTAACAAGGCAGAAAAGTGCCTCTGTGGAGTACTGGTGAACATATAATTTTATAAAAATGCATGAATAATTTTAAAGGCCTTTTAAACGTAATTAAATGAACCATATAAGGGCTGTATAAAATTGATCCATGCATGGTAAAATTATCATAAAAATGCTGAATATTTTACTGTCTCTTTGACTTTGCTCAAATGACCACATGAATAGTGAGAATGTTTTAAGTTATTACCAAATTCTGTAAGGCCTTAATAGGCTTGTATAAAAACACTATTATAGAATTATAATTGCTAGTATAGCATAGAGCTGCTCAGAATTGCTTTGGTCAACCACACAACAAGAATTTAGCTTCCATTCTGTGCCAGTGGCCCTGTGAGGATCGGGTTAGCATCAAAACACTGAGCATGTTGAGATGCTTGACAATAGGCTGCTAACAGCTAAAACTATACTCAACAGTAGTCTGCTAACATCTAAAAACTATACTCAACAATAGTCTGCTAACATCTAAAAACTATACTCGACAATATTCTGGTAACATCTAACAACTATACTCGACAATAGTCTGCTAACATCTAAAAATAATACTCAACAATAACCTGCTAACAACTAAAACAATACTTAATAATAGCCTGCTAACCGCTTAAAACTATGCTCAACAGTAGCTTGCTAATAATTAGAACAATACACAACACTATCCTATTTTTTTTAGCTAATTGCTAAAAGCAGAACTCAGAAGCCTGCTTACTGCTAAAAACAGAACTCAATAGCTTGCTAACAGATAAAAACACTGAATCTCATGAGCTAAATTAGTAAGTTATTGGTTCAATGTCATACTAAAACTGTGAAGAAAAAAAATCAAGTGAAACATGGTGAGATTCAGGAAGTATTTTGAAACCAGCTGTGTTCTAATGCTGTGGCACGAATGACAGAACGGCAGAAAAAAAGTGTTTCTGTGGAGAACTGAAGAAGATATTTTATGAAAAGGCGCAGATTTTAAAGGCCTCTTAAATTTAATTAAACGAGCTGTACGAAGGCTTTGTAAAACTGTTTCATGCTAACACAGAGCCGCCCACCTTAGCAAATAAAGTCAGCTGGAACAAAAATGGAGGGATACTGGATTCGAGACTTGTAACAGTGTATGAATCCCTGTTTTACCTCAATGAACAAATGCATTTTTGATTAAAATATAATTTCCATTATTAGATAATGCCAGATTTGTCATTGTTCATACAGATTACACAGAAATGTCATCATTTCCCCTCATCATGACTCAATGGAACATAATAAACGTCTCAAATTCACAACGATGCAAGGGAGCGATAACTCTGCGAGCTACTTTGGTGCCCAGCAGGGGGAGGAATTATTGAATAACGCTACCTGCTATTTTTGCTTATAGATTTCATAACAAGGATTTAATTTATGCTCATGTCAGGCCTAAGTGCCACAGCCGGCCTTTAGCGCAGCAGGAGCTGCTCCGTTTCCAGGACAAAACTGTGTGATTCATTTATGATGGAAGACGATCACCGGATTGCCCTTAAGAAAGACATAGTTTACACAAATTTTTGCACATGGTTTCACATAGAGTGTGTTCATTCATTCATTCATTCATTCATGCTATTTATGCGCAAAAACCAGTGACATTTCTTGACCCAGAAATTGAAGTCAATGAAGCGTAGCAGTCAGATTTCGTATGACTTCTCAGATTACACACTAAATCAAACGGGAAGCCCGTTTTAACCTGTGTTTTATAGCTTTACTAAATAGCCTCTCTCGGGCTGTCAGAGCGGATTGTTTTTACTCTGCTCTCACAGATATTAGTATGTGTTCCATGTGGGAAGCAATTTATCAAAATGACACATTTGGTGACACTTCATGCTCGCAGACGTTCTGCTCAGTAGGTCACGTTTGTTCATGACTATTGCATTCAATAGACAGGGTAAAGAATGCGTTTCAGGATGGTCTGTTTTTCTGTGCGGACGTTAAGAAAGCTAGCACCTTCTCAAAGACTCGGCCACATTCATCATTTACACCTAATGGGGCTATAAAATGTCTCCTACCAAGCAGGACCTTTAGTGTGCACAAGTGACCAGCAGAATATTAAAGGCCCTTGAATGTGTGCTCATGCTTGATGTGACTATTAGCGCTTTGGAAATATGGCCCAAAGTTCCCTTGCATCGTACTCAGCAGTGCAAGTTTTTTTTTTTTTTTTTTGGGTACCTTTCCTTCTTCATAAGGCTGACAAGCATGTATTTGATAGGAGCCAACAAATCCAAACTCAGCACACAAGTTTCCCAGGCTTGTATTTTCTCAGACTTAAGGTGTTTCGCTGTTTTTGTGTTTTATGTGAAGCCAGGAAATAACACAATTTGTCCCTCACTAAAGTGTGTGTGTGTGTGTGTGTTTTTTTAGTCACCTCTATAAACTTTCGACCATGTTGAAAAGAGCACTTAATCAGCTTGATGGCTCATGTTTTATATTTTAATTCCTCCACCTTTCCAGCCATCTGTTTTCCTAATAGGACATGGTGAGACTTGACAGGAGCATGAGAGAATATTTGATGGAGGGAATTGAAGAACAAATGCGGCCTCGCATAAATGGGAGCTGAACTTTCCGAGCTCGGCATGTCACTCTGCTGGCTATTGTTCCTTCCTCCTGCTTTATAGCACTGTCATCCAGTATCAGCAACATGTACAGCATCAGCACTGATAATGCCTCAGTAAAATGTAAGTCGCTCTGGATAAGGGCGTCTGCCAAATGCTATAAATGTAAATGTAAATGTAAAAATCTTTTCTATGCTACACAAGGATGGACAAATCATAAATCCATTAGCTGTTCTATAGCACAAATGACAGCGCCAGTGTGCACCGGTTTCATGTTTTGGATGCCCAGAAGCCTAAATAACTAGGCTTAAAATGGTAGGTAGCCAGTTTTCTTTAATGTAATAAAGCGCGGTGAGACTTAAAACACTGATGCTTGCCTACAAAGCCGTAAATGGACCAGCCCCCACTTATCTCAAAGCACTTATCACGCCCCGCACTGCACCACAGTCTCTCCGATCTTCTAGCACTGCTCGATTGGTCCCACCATCTCTCAGAGTACAAGGAAGGCATGCATCAAGGCTCTTTTCTGTTCTGGCACCTAGGTGGTAGAATGAACTTCCCCTAGATATCCGAACAGCTGAGTCACTGGCAGTCTTCAAAAGACGTCTAAAGGCCTACCTCTTCTTGAAGTACTTAATTTAAGCAAAAAAATAATAAATAAAATAAAAATAAAAAATGGTGTTGTCTGTATGCTTCTCTTACTGTATTACCTCCCCAACAGAGTTGATGGTACTCTTAGTCCATGACCTAGTGAACCAGTATCAGGATGTATTTATTCACAGAGACTTCAAAGCACTCCTGTAAAGTCGCTCTGGATAAGGGTGTCTGCCAAATGCCATAAATGTAAATGTAAAATATAAATGTAATCGGCTAGTTAAGAGCTTTAATACAGATCAAAGATCCTTTTCTGAGAAAGTGTGTAAGGCAGCACATTGCGTTTGCACCCTCGACACATTGTGTTTGCATCCTTGTGTGATGAAAAGAGAAAACACCAAAGCTCCTAGTCAAATGACTTTCTTACTTTTTGTAAGAAAGTCTTTTGGCTAGGAGCTGTGGTGCTTTCTCTTCACATCATACATAAAAGACATTATTCAAGTCAGCTAGCAACTTTATTTTCTGCTCAATATGTTTACCAGTATAGCAGTATTAACAGTGCTAGCAGACGGGTTTACACTGCTTGCACGGTTTAGTTTGTGTTTTCACTTACATGTGTGCTCATGATTCTATAAAAGTGGCATGTCTCCTGTTTGAAGCACAATTTGTTTAAATAAACATTCCAAATAAAGATTTCTTTGTGAAAATCAGTAACAATTAGGATTTTTTTTTTTAAAATTCAATTCAACTTTATTATCATCAGCCATTTACAATATAATGAAATGTAATTTAGCTAGCCTCAGGTGTAAGCATATAACACGTGTTAGTGCAAAATGGCACGAGACATTATGTCATTACGTGAGTAGCACGCACACGGTAACACAGTAACAGAATTTCGTTTGGTTGAAAGAAATTCTGGTTGTTGTTGGTCTTCGGCTTCTCCGTTAGGGGTCGCCACAATGGATCATTGATCCGCATGTTTGATTTGGCACAGTTTTAATGCCGGATTCCCTCCCTGACTCAACCCTCCCCAGTTTTATCTGGGCTTGGGACCAGCACTGGGAGTGCACTGTCATGTGCAACCCCAGTGGCTGGGGTTGGTTCCCTGGCTGGGAATCAAACCCGGGCCATGGTGGTGAGACTGCCATGGCCTAACCACTAGTCCTTCAGGGACTCTGAAGAAATTCTGGTGACCATTACAAATAACTGTCCTGAGCTAGTTAATTGTCCACTCCTGCTGGAAATTGTAGTCTACATATCTTTTCAAAGACTTTGATAATGGTATGACCGTGCAGAAATAATTATCTGTATCTTAAGACGTATCTTAGTCTCTTCTTCTTTCATTTTTCGCTTTGTTTTGCTACAGTGCGTTGCTATCGCCGCAGTGTGTTTTAATCTGTTTTAGCTGCTGTCATGGTGCATAGGCCCGAAACTTGAAAACAGCAAGTACATTTAAGATCATTATGAATTCACTTGGCTGTGATGTCTGCAAAGCTGTAATTACAGCTGCGGCAATGGAAATTTATAAACCATTATTTAATAACGAGTACAAGCATGCTTTCTTTGTTCATGAATATTAAAAAAATGCACGGAGTTAGAATTAGTCAGATAACTACTTTTTAAATCAGCGCTGAATGCTAACACGGATCTCTTAAATCCATGATTGAATCATTTATTTATCACTTGACTGTTCAGTTTAATATTTTGTCAGTAAAACTCTTTATTATACTATTGTACTCTAAACCCAAAATGGATTAATTGATGCCACTTTTATAATCTCCAGCTGAGAGCTTCATTTAATGAACTTGAATTTACTGCTAGTAAGCCCGTGTCTATAGCACTTACTAATACTGTTATCTGTAATGTTTTAACAGTCTACATTCAGACAGAAGAATTTGTGTGTGTAAAAACTTGTTCATATGATGAGAGCAGTCTGTTACTGGATCTGTAATTAATATACAGTTTAGTCTGTTTCTACCTAAAGGTGAAAAATACAGGATGTGGTAATGAATTAGTTTGCAGCCACTAAAATGAATTAGTTTGCTGCCACAGTGCAATTTATTACATCCTGAAAGCGATTCCTGGGACAGATTGCGATTGCGTGTGCTAATTAACACAACTGATTGGATGTTAAATGTATAGTAGCCATTTCTGCCAGTTAATGACACATTTATACAGTTTACTAACGCTTATCAAAATGTTGACTTAATATTACTGTGTGAAAGTTCCATATTAGATATTCAGTTAGATAATACACTATATGGCCAAATGTGTATGTGGACATCTGACACCCATATGTGGGCCTTCCTCAAACACAATTGTATAGGATGTCTTTGTATGCTGTAGCATTACAGTTTTCCTCCACTGGAACTAAGAGGCCCAAACATGTTCCGACATGACAATGTTAATGTGCACAAAGTGAGCCCCATGACATGGTTTGCTAGGGCTGGTGTAGAAAACACGAGTGGCCTGCACGGAGCCCTAACCTCAACCCCACTGAACACCTTCGGGGATGAACTGGAATGCCAATTGTGCGCCAGACCTCCTCGCCCAAAATCAGTGCCTGACCTCACTAATGCTCTTGTGGCTGAATGATCACAAATCTCTACAGCCATGCTCCAACACCTACTGGAAAGCCTTCCCAGGAGAGTGGAGACTGATACACATACTCTTGGCCACATAGTGTGTATCTAAGGAATAAAACAATTTAAGACATGCTGTTGTAAGAAAATTTTCTAATAACAGCATATTTTAATCCTCTCCAGCAATTTGCCAATGATTACAGTTTCTTATTTATTTATTTATTAACGAATGACATTTTAATTTATATACATACATTTATAGTTACATTAAATGTTGTGGGTCATCTTCACCAGCCTCTCTTTTTTCCTCCTTCTTGACGTTAATAACACAAAAAAGCAGCTTGTCATGTTAGTGAGAAACCTCAAAAGCTGTGATTTTTACAACGTGCTGGCACTGGAGACTCCTTCCATAAATGTTAAATAAACATATCCAAACTTCACCATGTCACCTGTACATTCTTATTTGTTAAAGAGCAAGCATGTGTTCTCATTTGTTATTATTAGCTTTAGAGGCACGACCCTGTGAATTAGCCCTTACTATATAAACAGTAGCATATTAGCATGAGTGCATTAATACTGGCGTGACAGATCATTTTCTTTTTAATAACTTACAGCACAAGCACAGTTTATCGATTGCACACACAAATTAGAGCCTCTTATACGGGATCTTAGTAAATCACGTAAAGAATGTAAAGAACATTGAAAAGTCCGTCGCCATTTGATGCTTTCCAGCACTTGTCTCTCTCCCCAACCTTCAGACCCGAAATGGATTTATTTTTTTTCTCTCAGTAAAATGATTTCATGCTTTTCACATCTCTCATATCCTCTTCAATTGTTCTCCTCAATGTCAAGTATTCTCTTGTTTCTCTCTGTCTGTCTCTCTCATACTCGAATGGTTATTAAAGATTATTTGGGATGATTGTTCCTGCGAGATCAGCCATCTAGCTCCTATTGCCTTTATTCACCCATTGAATAATTGCATGGAGCAGTCATCTGTCAAATCCTACTCATGGCCGTTTACAAAAGGAGAGGCTTTCTGTGTAGCTTTTCAATTAATGTAATGGCTGCAATCGAGTCATTGATAAGAGCAGAGTCAATCCATTAAATATCTCGAAAGAAAATCAATACGAGTGTTCAAAGCGTGGATTTTTACAGTGACCATTTCGCCAACTGTGATGATTTATCATGAAGGTCAGGAAGGTTTAGAGGCATTAAGTACAAGCAGTTCCAATGCTCTAGTTTTCTTTTTTTTACAGTCAGTCATGAGCAGGGGTGAATGGTAAAAATCTAATGATGATATTTCTGACCAATAGTGCGATGGAAATTTTTTTTGCAATTATTCTCTATAAAATAATATACAGGGCTGGAATTGTATTATATACTGTATCTAACTTGCATAATTACAAACGTATCTTTGATCTGCATAAAAACAATCAAATGGAATGATAGAGTTGCTAGTAACACTGGTTTATTGTGTGCTCATACACACCCACTTAGATACATCAGACCACATCATACCCCAACTTAAGCATAGAAGAAGTCAAACTACATTGCGATAGGCTAGAGCTGGCAACCAATCTTGACAGAGTAAGTGTAAGTGAGAATGTAAACAATGAGAGAGTGAAAGAGTCAAAAATTATACTAGAAAAGAAAAAAAAAACAGATCAAGAACTGATGGAGAGTTAGCATTTTTTTTCTTTCTGAACAGAGAAGGCTTTTATTTGTTTTCTAATCTGCTGAGAAGAAGGTAGTGATAAAAAAATAAATAAATAATTAAAAAAAAAAGTTTTTTAACTGCTACTACTTGCTCTATGTAGTTGCCTCATGTGTCTATTATTTTCCAAATGGCAAAATCAGAAAAGGGCAATACCATAGGCTAAATAAAGGGGATATTACAATGACACCTATAGGTATAAAACCACTTTATAGTCACATATGCCACAATATTATGCAATGTTTATTTTTCTGGAAAGAAATGAACAGACTGTTGTCAGTTTCAAATATATATATAATTGTAAATGATGCAATAATGCTCTCTCTATATTCAAAACACCAATTCATATAAACAATACAAAGAACATATGACTTCTGGGGTCCTGCAGAATCTTGTCCTTGCCGCTTTTTTTTCTCCTTCTGGACGAGAGAGTTTTGTCTCAGAAGATGTGTAAACATGTTGTTATGGACATCACCATGTGAAATCGGGACTGTTTCCTTGTTTTAGCTGTAGTTGTGTCAAATACACTGCAGCCTCTGATTGGTTGATCTCATCTACAAGCCGTTCTCGTTATTGGGTTATTGAGCAATACCCCATATGCCCTTTTTACACCTGTTCAGATGGCATTGTTAATAATGAAACCTAGGATTACAATGGCAGCTGTTTTTCACTTTTTCAAATCTTGATTAGAATATAAATCCTCTATGTGTTTAGTACTGTGCTGTCGTGAACAAGGTGTTTGGTGAAAACATATACTATAAATGAGTCATATGTAAAATATATCATACTCCAGGGGAACTAAGAATCTTTCTTGAGGAATTCCACATCCTCCTCAGCTTGGTGTAACCTGCTACACATGAACTTTACGCATCAGTACATGATCGAAATCTCCCCTCTATTATAATTTCATAAACCCGTTATTACAAAAACAATATTAAAATTCAAATGGATGCCAGGTGCTGTACTAGCCGTGTTTGTACACAGCTGTAAAATTGATTGATTCAAGTCATGCCAGTTAGCTTTTTTTTTAATATGTTTATATTTTAGAGAACATTGCATGTAAATTATGTAACGGTACCTCAGTTGAATCATGGAAGTCATTTCCCGTAACCCATTTTCCATTTGCGCAAACAAACCAGTTGTACAGTGTACAGCCTTTGATACACACTGCCCTGTCCTCTGTTCTGCCCTTTCCTCACAGCATATTCCAAACAATGTTCAAATAATAACTCTTACAAAGTCTCAGTCTAAGGTCAACTGGTGCCCTTCTTTCTCATACCATTTACCGTACTTTTCTTTTCTTTCCACGCAAAAAAACAAAAACAAAACTTTGCATCTAGTTATATCCCAAGACGCATCTACCATTTCAGTTATTTAAATTGAGGAAAAAATAAGCGAGCCCTCTATTAGAATGGTGCAGCCCTTATTTTCATGATTGCAATACTAAGTAATAAAACCATGACAGGGCATGCTGTTATAGGTAAATAATCATGGTGTGATGCTAGTCAATGTTAAACATGTTGAGTTGCTGTTATACCCCAAAGATTAGTTTAACCCAGCAATTTGCCAATGATTACAGTTCTTTATTTATGAAAGAATATCATACTTTTTTGAGCTTATCTCTCACAACCCTTTTTTAGTGTTGTGAATGAAGCAAGTTAGGTCCTGGTATCACTTAGGCTAGAGCAGCTATAAGCAGTTGTTCCCTCACCAGCCTCTCTTTCTTTGTCTTGAAGTTAATAAGACAAAATTAATGCAGCTTGTCACATTACAGGGAAAGCACAAAGACCTGAGGACTTTTTCCTGTTGGGAAACTGTTAACACTGACACTGGACACTCCTTCCATAAAAGTTAAAGTCTCCAAACAAAAAGCTTAG